CATCCTACATTGGTGCCTTCCCTGGGGCGGAAGGTCGTCTGGTGGCTTCTGGCCAGGGCATTTGACCCCGGATGGGCGCAAGAGCCTTTATTGGTGCAACAAGATCCCTGATAACCGCAGGCGGTCCAATAAATGCCACAGAGACTCATGTTTGGCCAACAAGCCCTTGGCTAAAACGGGGTGAAGGGCCCCGTAAGGGCCCTGGGTCACCCCTGGCCGACTCGGGACTCCTTCCGTCACAGGACACTCTGGGGGCCTGACTGTCAAAAGACCACTCATTGCTGTACGAACTCCAACCAATGCAAGCCGCGGGCCTCGGCCTCGTTTCTCCTAGAGAAATGGGGGGGGGGGGGGGCAAGGCTCAGAGAAACACGGAGCCGACTATTCGGTGCAGTGGCCTCCGGCCGAGATAGGTGCCCGTATTGTCCCAGGGGTCCACAATCGGCGAAAGAGGTATATTGGCTGACATTTGGGGTCACACAGGCCATACGGGCCAGGATGACCTGCAGCCTTTCGACCCTTATGGTCATTCAACCTTCTCATCGCGCCGTTGATCGCCAGTCTTGAAGGGCAGTCTTGAAGGGCACGTCGGTTCCTCTTCGGGCGCCCGCGTACACTCCCTGATCAACCGGGGGCCCCTGTCAACACCGCACCTCCGGCTAGGCGCAGTGTGCCCCTGGCCGACACAGGGGCCCCTCATTGGCTCGAAGTGCACCAGCCAATGTAAATCGCGAGTCCTGACCTTGTCCCTGCTTAGGAAATGGGCTCCCTGACCCAGGCCGGAGTCCAATTGGTGCAACGAGCCCTCTGGCTGGTGGTTGAGGGTCCGACTCGCGCCCCCTCAATCACCTTTAGCCAGCCCTTCAGGCCCCATATAGGATTTACGGTGATCCCATTTGAGGTTTCTCCGCGGTCACCTGAATGACACTTCAGGCTTAGGATCAGTCATTTTCTCTCCATGACAGTCCGGTATCAAGGGCAAACTGAGTTCGGGGGAGGGCCAAGAAAGTGGAGCATAATAAAAGTATCCAAATGCCCATGGTAACAATCAAGTTTCTCCTCAAATTTGGTCAACTTTCTCCGAGGAGCCCCAAAAAAGGGAGGGCAGGGATTTCTTCATGGACATAGAACACTGTGCCATCCACTACCACACAATCCACTACCAGAGCTTTTTTCTTTTCAGACAGTTGTGATATGACCATTTCAGACAGTTGTCATATGAGTGACTATGACCATTACTTGTATCACTATTTGAATGTCATGAGATGAGGGCATCCATATTGATCACATTACTGTTCAGGGACCCTAACATCACCAGGACTAGAACTCAGGCTCACTGTGTGAGAGCCAGACGAGCTAACCAACCGGCCACTGTGCCCTCAGCATCAAAGTTCTACAATTTAGTAATACAGAAAATTTCCTTCTAGTTCAGGAATACAGAGAATTGGCTTTGATTGGATGTAGATAATTTGGTGACCATCTCATGTTCATAGCCAATATTACCTCTTTCTTTGACCCACAACTCTAGCTTTTCCTTATTTCAGTAAGTAATTTGTTCAATCTGCGGGGTTTGAGGCAGGTAGATCACTGTATAGACCATGTGCATAGTGTTTTTCCATTTTGGAAGAAGTATAAGCCTGGTGTGTAACCGCCCTCTGTTTTGGAGGGTGTATAAGCCTGGTGTGTAACCACCCTCTGTTTTGGAGGGTGTATAAGCCTGGTGCGTACCTGCCCTCCAATTTGGAGGTGAACACACACCACCATATAAAAAGGAGAGATAATTCATAAAGGCAATGGCAGCTCACAGGTCAAAAGCAGCACCTTTGTTTCAACTGCATCATAGTTGTCCTAATAACTGCCAACCTTTCCTGACTGACCCTGAATGTACCTTCTTGCATGATATCTGTAGCCAGAAATCCACCACTGAAATTTCAGGACCAGGTTGCAAAAGCCTGAAGCTTTTGGCTTGCCCAAGCTTCTGCAGCAAGAGCTGAACATATCAACCAGCCTATAACCATCTATATGCCAGACATGTGTGAGCCAGTGAGGTGCCTGCAAAGCCTTTACTGTTTGTATTGCAAAATGTCCAGTGCAATTTACATGCAGCAAATGTGTCTGGAAAGCCAGGGTATAATGCAAAACATTGGACTGTAAATTCAGTGTGATTTGGATGACATTCAACCATTGTAGTAAATAGGTATTCAGTAGGCATTTATGATCACAGAAAAAAAAGTTGGACACCCCTTTGGATCATCCCATTACTAGCCACTGCCACGAGCAGAGAAGCTATCTGCCCATTTCAGGACAGGATCAGACCTGCCCCAAGCATTGTGTTGACTGGTCTGCCAACTTTTGAAGACTGGCGGATTCCCAAACCAGAATATCCATCCCTCACGCTACCCTGAATGCTCCTGTCATACTTCCCTGGAAAGCAATTGGTAGGAGGAGCCCAGTGAGATGAGTCAATGGTGAGTCTTCAATGATATGTGGAGCAAATCATGCCATTCATCGACAAACCATAGGTGTTTGGATGGTGAAATGAACAACCCTGGGAAGCAAAATATCAATCACCTGGTGTACCTCCTGCAATAAATTCCTTGTCAGTTATGATCTCATCACGGTACGGTACGGTATAGCCATGCGCGGGACAATGCTCGATTTCAAGATAGAAGTCTACCCTGTCTTCCCAACCAGTGGGCGTCAAGAGATACAAAGTATAACACTGCACGATGAAATTGCATTTGAACGTGCTCAAGTACTCTACGAAGGTCCTTTGGCGTTCAACACACCCCCCTCCCGCACCTACCTCACCACGGACAACCCCCACAATCCACTTACGTCACCCACATGACGCGTGATGCGATCAAGGCCGGTCGTGAAGCGATGAGCCCGTCGTGGCTTGTACCGCATCATCGTCAGCTGGTGCATCATATGACGTCGCTGGAACTCCGTTACCTTGGTTTGAATGGGTACCTCGACTGCAGCAGTCATTTCGCTCGCTGGAAGTCCAGGAGAGGTGGCTACCCGTTCCTTTGCGACTTTTTGGAAGAGAAATGATAACTTATCTGTATCTGTAAGCACCCCGCTCATCCCAAATGCGAGCGGTGTTCAATCGACAGGTCGGTTCTGTATTTCGGTGGCTACGGCGGTACCCGCTATTACTTACACCCTTTGTGTGGCATAAGGAGGCTTTGATAGTTCAGCCTATCTGGCGGATGGAAGCCGGGATGACACGACCACAATGCAGATAGGTCTGATTTTGTCCCAATTTGTTTCTAGAGTTCCAATCTACTTATTTTTACGGTTGCCTGAGAGTTCCGGTTACTTAGACGCATCTCAGTCCTTGTGAACTACAAGTTTTAGTGCTTAAAACGTAAAGCCTAGTTTCATACTTGTGGCTTCTACGGTATTGGTCATCAGCTGGCCTTTAACACGCACCCGGGTGCGGGGAGTCCGTTCCCTCCCCCCCCCCCGCATTTATAATCACCATGTTTAGCTGTAGCCGTCTTAAAAGCAGATCATTTGGCATAACAATCAGATGTGCCTTGTAAGGTCGCCGGCTCATGGCAGGTCAAAGTCCAGCTGTGGCCGTCAGCCGAGAACGCTTGTAGATAATCGATCAGCATGCTGCGACAACGGAGCGTTAAACAAACCGATGGGTCTGAGATAATATCTAGGCAATACGCCCGTTGAATTTAGGATTACAACAAATTTTGCTGACTTAGGATCAATGCAACTTGTTGCAAAGTACGGTGCAAAGGTCAAGTCAAAGATATGAGCCACGATTGCCCGATGATATGCAGGTCGCACTGAGGTAAAGACCAACCCGCTTTTTTACTGGAGAGATTGTTGCAAGTGGAAGTTTCTGATACCCATTTCAAACTTCTTAATAACAGGAACCGCGACAGACATCATTCATGGACTTCCTAAAGTGGGCCACTAACCTAAAATGATCCGGATCAGCCCTTGGGGTTTTTAGGAACGCACCGCTTACCGTACAGCTTAACACTTATTCAAACGAGAAAAAAAACGAAATGAGCTGGTGGGTTTTTGGCCACCACCAACCTAAGGTCAAGCAAGGTGCCTGACATAAAATAAACGCAAACAACCTTTTTGCTTAGAGGAGGCACCCAGGTTCAAGGCGGTTGTGTAAGGAAGTCTGTGGGAACCTTGGACAACAATCGTGAGTTTGAGCCCGCTTGACCCTATTTCTCCCATGCGCTTGGTGTCCCTAACTCTCTTACTGAGACCTCAGGGGGTCAAATTGCCCCTCTCGGGCAAAGGGTATCCAACCAGCCATTCGAGCGCTTTAATGAAGTTGAGTCCAGGCTACCTTGACACTCTGACTCCGCTAACAAGGGCTTCAACCATACACACCATACCTCTAACAGATGCCTCCTACGCGTTCCTGCACCTTGGATAGCGATCTTGAGTTCAGGTGACTTTGGCGTTGACTGTCAGTCAAACAATATCGTTCTGGCCCCGTGACACACCTGTTCTGGTCCTCCGCTGGTTTGGAGTAGTTTGGTCGTTTTTGCGTTTGCCGTCAACTGATTGCGAGAGGAGACCGTGTGTGCGTTTTTGATCACCTTCTGGGTGGAGGAAGATCCCAGTCACAAATGGCATTTGATGCCAGATACGTCAGATCCAGTCGTATTTTGAAAGATGCCATTTTCCACGTCATGAAGAGCGCCACCGGACAAATGCTCGGAATACTGCAGCCCCAAGGCTATCCTACTTTTTACTTAACCCTTCACGTCCCAACAGGCAACAAGTGCGATAGCATATATGTATGTACCATAGGTATATCCATGCCAGGTCGACACAGGTATACCTACGGTACGTTGCCTACGTTTCTCTTTTGCACTGAACCCGGGTTGGCGTCCCCGGCCACTAGGGGCAGATTAAGCACTGACACGGTGCTTTGCCATCCAGGCAGATCGTGAGCTTGACCCAGTTTCTTTAAAATTAGACCCAGAGTTTGACCACCACGGGCCGCAGCCTGTGCATGCTGGTGTATTTAAGCTCTCTCAAGCCAAATGATCTCGCAAGACCTTCAGATCTCTGAATACATACCATGCTCACTCACATAGACACTACTAACATTGAAACGCTTGGTGCGTTTTGGTCCTCGCCGTCTCAGTCCCTACATCTGCGTGCTGACAGCCGTAACAAAAAGTCATATCTGCCCAGCGTGTTGCTTCCAACCTAGTGCAGCAGGTATGATGGAGCAAAATGTGCATTGCGTTCCTTTTACTGTCCTAGCCAGCCTCAGGTGCCGGGCGCCTCCCTGCAACGTACCAAGAAGGGAAATCGCGCCACAAGTACATTCTCGCTTTTCAAGGTGTGCGCAATCTCGCAATTTTCAACATTCTCGCAATCGTGCGCGATTACGGAAACGAGCCTACTGCATCAACACAGACATATGTTCAACATCAACATGTGTTCGCATTACTTGAGACCAGAAAATAACTTGAGCTGGAAGCGAACCTTTTCGACGCCCTAGAGCGCATAACATACGATTGTTCATGCCATGTATTTATTGTCCTGTTCCGTGGAAGCAATTTCACTTGGGAACACCAGATCGGCAGTCAAGAACCACAAACGCTTGGTCTTGGTGCGACTGTTCCATGGGGCGATGTGAGGGACAGAGCCTCAATTGATTGCCAGCACAAGCCGGTTTAAGTGCCAGTTTTCAATCCTTTCCGGTCCTTCATCACCAAAGACCAGCACGCATCTTCCGGCAACTCGCAGTAGATGACGAATGACGAGAATATCTGAAAAAATACACACTGGTAAATAACTCGTAGGCAGAGTACCGGACATGCTTCAGATAAGGCAGCAGGTGTCCCGGTCTTTGGAGGCCAAGAAGTCTGGTTGACATTCTGGTACTATGATGCGGATTTATCTAGGACCAGCGCGTGTTGCGGACAGCTGTAGATCTGTAGAACACAGAACTACTGAAGTCACACCACGAAAAAATATCGTGGACACCACACGCCTGCCCATGTTTACATCAACCCGAAAACCACGCATCTTTAAACATTGGTATTCCAGTTCAGAAGTAGCTTCCCCGAAAAACTCAACGCCCATTTGACCAATAACATCCAATCCAACCCCACCCTGCTGAAACGCCATCCGATGGCACCATGACTGAAAAGCCGGTCCGGCAGGAAAAATCGACGCATGCTCTGCGCTTTTAATTGCAAACTCCAAAAACAAACGCAACGACTTTGGCAAGAATGCAGGAAATGAACAAGCATGACGCCACAGCGCCCCCAAGACAAGTTTCCACAAAATCCGGAGAGCAACAGTTGTTATCAAGTCTTCGGTGCCGACACGAGAACACGTGGCATGTACCTGAACGCACCACATTATTACGAGTATCTCCAGCGAAACCGATCGGCATAACCACCGGCTTTAACCACCACTATACGTTGCCAAATATGCGTTTCCAGAACTTTCCTTGCTACAAACACGATACCCCAAAGCGTCAACCAAACAGCGGTGCGCAGCGATGCCTCGGTAGGTGCTCAGATCACAAATGATGAAATGCCGTTGGAAATGCAAAGAAACGAAAGATTCTTCTATGATACAAGCACCTTTCCGATACGACAAAAACGTAGCGGCCTGCAATGTTTCACGCTTTCCAAGAACCCACCCATACAATTGTAATTCGACCTGATGCAGACTAATGCGACGGTATCCCTCCAATTCAGAGAGGTATTACCCCAATCAGTTGTTTCGACAAAAAGTATCACCAAAATAACAATGGATAACTACTCCATTTTAGGTTAAACAGTCCAACCACATGCCTTTCCCCACAGCAGCCTAAACGTACCAGGTGCAATAGCATAAGTCCGTAGTCACGGCATTACAAAGCTTCGACGGCACCTGTGAACATATCCAGGGGTAAAAATACAGCACGACGGGTGACGCATACAAGAGCTCCTTTCGCCATCAGACAAAAGTGGGTGATGAGCTGCGTCGTCATCGATACCTCAGCAGATATAAACATCATGGTGAAATTCAAGCGAGTAGCTTTTTAACAATTTACGGTCAGGACCTGGTCACTCACTCCAGGTCTCCGCAACGTCACATCGGTGGCGGATGTGAGACCCCTCCTTACCTCGCAACTCCACGTCGTTTGTTAGGTAGCTCCCGCGATAGCCAGCTGGAAACGACGACAGTTTTAGACATGTCTCAGAAATGTATTATTGGAAGATTGCTCGAGACATCAGTTGGTAGTGCATGTAAGACAGTCCTCACCAGAGGTAGGTAAAATTGGAATTTCCATCATTTCGTTCCACTGGACGCCTCCAAACTACTATAGTCTAAATATTAAACTGCAGTGCGCTGGGGACAAAATATGCGTCAACCATTTCTGCCGCCTTACCAGAGCTGAGCCGGGATATAACGTACGACTTAAGACAGGTCTCTTAGATTACAAATGAAAGCATTGCCATTAATTCCAGCACAGACGGTTCAAGCCGAGGTACATGACTGTTCCTGGTAATTATTCGCCATCAACGCGAGTATTGTTTGGGATGGCCTCCAAGAACTGGAGATAATACAAGTCACAAGTAGTCTTTAGGGGTTTTACGAGGCGCGTCGACTGCACCGGTCATTTAGCGTCCAAATACAACATAATAGGTGAGAAGGCAGATCCCATGACCGAGACGACAGTGTGCACACACCTGACACCATAACGCGAGTACGCGTTAGCCGCCCCCTGTTTGATGTTTATTGGTATTTCAGGACCAGGCGGCAGCGGTCCCGACGCTCCCGACACCAGCTGTGAACAAATCGAACCGTCAACAACAATGCGGTGGACACCGATGACCAAAAGTCGCTTCTTAATCAGACAAAAGTGGGTGATGAGCTAAGTCGTCATTGCTACCTCAGCAGGCATGAACATCATGGTACATTTTGCTGTAACACGTTCAGCTGACACAAGCCCTCACCAGATGTGGCGATAATTGCGCACTTGCCGGTTGCCGGGCGCTCTGTTGCACTGCCAATTCTGTGAAGGGAAGAACCAACACATTAGACATTTTAAGTTGATAGCGACCAATGCATACTCGATAGACCAAAGTACTGGCATAGGCTTCCCAACATTTAACGTCATGAAGCAACACATTTTCACGTTTTAAAACTGCGTGCTTTGAATTTGTAACAGCTATGCAATAAAGCACAAACAATAGTGAGAAACCAATGGAGCTTAGTAGGCATGCACCCTTCTTGGAAATAAAGCAGTGTGGGTGTTCACCGTGACCCGAAATTAACTACATGTCTCCATTCTGATAGCGATTCGGCTTGGGCCAAACGCAGCATCAAAGATGGAGATTAATGTCGGGCCGACGCGAAGCACGAAAGTTCAGCAAAACATTCGTGCGCAAAACCAGCCCAATGGACATGAATTACCAGGCACCAGATGTGCGCAAGCGATACCACGTTTTGTGCACCGTGATTGGAGGCGAGCATCTGTCATGTACATTTCCTGAACGGAATAGCTAACACTCAAATTGTCCACGAGGGGATTGCAACATGACAATGGTTTGTTACATAGTTTACTCTAAATTATTTTGATAGGGTCTTTTCCTTTCGTTTTCGCCGCGTGCTACACCTCCACTGATATTTCTGCGCAGATCCTTGGCTCCAAACGCGGGATCAGGTACCGGTTGCGGGGGGAGGGGGGGGGGGGGGGGGAGGGCGTCGCGATCGTGCACACCTACATCATTCATGTTTAAGCACGAATCAGAGAACATATACACTGTTGTGGCACTGTGGCCAACATACAACTGTGAACATATGCACTGTTGTGGCCCTATCCGGCCAAGTGATAAAAAAACAGACACGCAGTCATAACCCGTCACTCATCATGTCGGCAACTTTGTTTGTTTTCGTAGCATGCCATCGGAGGTTCGAGAAGAGGTGCTCACAAACACCTGCACGCTATTCGGGCCATTGTATTGCAGAAATGTAGAAACATGTGTCTATAAGCCAGGAGATTGTAACATAAGCTGAAATGTTCTATTATTTGAGGAGAACTGCACTTGTGTTATTCTGGAACGATTGGGCACAACAAACACTTGCAATTCGTAATGCACCAGGTGAAGTCTGGCCGTTTACACATCAGGAAAGCATACAGTTATAATACAGCCATCACCAAATGCGTGATGAGCAAAACGCAACTTCGAGGGGCCAGACTTGCCTTAACAGTTTTTTTCAGAACCAGCAGAAAATTCTGCTTAATGGGAGCACGCCACCCAAGAATCAAGTGAAGAGAAAGCGATGAACCATTAGTTAAAAATCATATATGCTTACCACAAATGAGGACGGAGGAGTGCAATGGGGATAGTCACTCAAATTTCAAGTAAATCCAATGTCTCCAATTCGATAGCAACTGGGCATGGGCCAACTGCAGCATCCAAAGGTGGATGATAGTGTAGGGCCGACGCGAAGCACGAGAGCTCAACAAAACATTCGTGCGCAAAACCAGCCCACTCGACAAGACTAGGTGTGCACGTGTGCAGAAACTAGGTACGCAGCGGTTTGAACACTTAACCCTGGGGACCTCCCGTATGGTCACTTGGCAGCATAAGGCCTATGATAAACCGTTCACTAACCTCTGCCGCATTGCAAGCGCCAACGGGTGAAAATTTGTTACCATCGGGGCAGTAAAAACTTAAGTTGAAGAATTGTCGAAAAGGCAGACTTGAAGGGATTATTAGAGAAGATTCGGTTACGGTAACCAAAAATTCCGCAAACATCAGTAATGATTCATCCCAGACAGTCAGCTCTATTGCAACATCTTGCAGGTGAGTTACAGGAATGCTCCACATTTAAGGGTATTGAAGCAGGCATCAGATACGATGAACTAATCTCACTCATCACTATTGCAATGCTTTTTAGTGGAACAGCCTGCTCTAGACGACACAATTCCCCTGTTATGTAACTATGTTCCTCAATACGCCATTGTTTGATCAAGTCATCGTGCCTAGCACAAGAAGAACCAATTGAAGACGCTTGTATCTGGAAATGATGCTCACGAGCGCCGGCTATGAACGACACAATTACCTATTTCTTGACCTTAACCGCCGTACGGCTAACAGCATGGCATGACGAATAGCTATTTTAGTCCGGGATGACTGGGTAACTTTGAAATGGCTCGCCCGAAACAGTACCGACATTTTCTCGGGCGTGTAGCCCAGAAACTTAAGGGTTTATGCGTTACAGGGCTGTGAAGTGTACCGAAAGACCGATCTGCAAGATGGCTATTTCAGTCTTAAACCATAAATGTGAAACAATCTCCATTGAGGAAGTGTCCCCCACTTGTATTGGGTTTTGAGCCAGAAAGCCACCTTGAAGATTATTCAGTGGAGTTCAAAACCTGTCCTGAAGACCCGAGCCCACCTAGTTCTTGAGCTATACGCCCGCGATGATGTGCGGACTATTTGGTGTAACGTTCGACTACTAAACCACATTCATGCAAAACTCAGTTACCGTGAACACCATGACACGCCAGGCCATGACCTTATCCCCACTTTTCACCGAGCATCGGTTCTCTTAAACACCTGCTTACCTCCAACAGCGCGTTGCACGCCCGGGCCGCGGGGCTAGTCCAATGGCTGCAACACAAAAGTACACTTAATACTTCTCAAAATGCCTCGCATATTATATTCGCAGAGGGGTTTCAGTTGGTAGTGCATGTAAAAATGTCCTCACCATCCATCAGTGACCTCGTGGTTTCATCATCTCAGTATATCGTGCGACAGTACAGGCATATGGAGCGTATGTGGAAGCAAAACGAACCTCGATTGAAGCGAAGCAGAGGCACAGTGGGCCTCGTAGAAGCGGATCCATCGCCGACACCCAGGAAACTGAAGGCATAAAACATATTGTTGGTTGCATGAGAAACAGTTGGGTGAGAAAGGGAGTGTTGCACATTCGTACGGGGTCTCGAACAGATGTCTAATTTACAAGTTCAATGCAATTTAGCATCATGCCCCTTTTAACACCTCTTACCCCTTGTTTCTGAGATTGACGCCCAACATCCTTGCTGACTGTCACGTAACATAGGTCATAGGCCTAATACATACTATATATATATATATATGTGTGTGTGTGTGTGTGTGTGTATATGAATATATAAGAAGCGTAACACGCATGGCACCACCTCACTGGTCATGGAACGCTGGCCATCATGTCATAACTCGCACCTTCGTCGTAATCCCTGAACGATTTAGTACAAAACATGATTTGTGTTCGACCGCCGCACTGAACGCATAACATTACATACAGAGCGACTTAAGTCCGTTGCAACCAGAAATCGCGCTGACGTACGCCAAACACGGATAATTCGACAACAACAGTTTCCTTTGATTTTAGCATTACATGGCCGGTGAGCTAGCAGTATTTACGTGACATTTCTATGGAGTAATACATGTCTGGATGAGTTCGAAATAGTCTGCACAAGTTCGCTAACGTCGAACTCCGAAACCGGAAGGTGTGAAAGTCTTGAAAAGTGGACTGTGAACTGCGCTGAATTATCTTCGTAACGGCCATCACGGTTCGAAACTCCGCACCAGTAGCATATTTCCTTACATCGCTAAAATTTGAGCCGTAACACGTAAGTGCCCGCAAGCGTATTTTGAGCAATGTAATGTGCCTGGGCATAGCGGCTGCGGATGACAGGTAATCAAACGCTGCTATTAGTGCCAGGATTTCTTTAGGGCTGCTGCTTGACATCCTCTTCCAGACAGAGGACAGAGAATGCTTAAATACAGCCCAGTATCGGCGGCGTGCAGAACACAGTGGCATCACTATCAGTATCACTGTCGGCGGCTGGACAACTCAAGGCGAGTGTCTCATGAGACAGATAATCGCGGGCATCTATGTCCGTTATGCATCGTCAGATAAGACTGAGCATACCGTTTCCAATGTGTAGGCATCTTGGGCGGAACAAAGCCAAGCGCGTTTAAGTTAGGAAGCACGCTACGCAGTGCGACAGTCATGGGTGGCTTTGAAACTACTCCAGATGCGCACGTGCCTCGCCCGAACACACAAACGACAGATAATTCAAAACAGGCGCAAAACTCGCGCGCCATCGAGTTGAGTTAAGCGCATCATAGCTAACTTACGTACGCTTGGTTCACTCCAGCCAAGGAGTGAGCAGTTCATACGTGGGAAGAATATTATTGTCAGCTTGAGTCGCCTCCAAGCAGTTACGCATCTGAAACAAAAGGCTCATTCAAACGCCTTCTGGTGAGCTACATGAGCTAACAACTATTGAGTAACTGTCAGATAACGTTGAGTGTCATCACAACTAAGAGTGGTGCATGTATCTCATCATTAACAGCGAATAACTTGCGTTCAGCACATAGTTTAACTCACCCGGCCCACGTCCAACGCGTGGCATCAGTTAACCTGAAACGAGAAGAACCAATTAGCATCAACCTACTGAAACTACTAACCGTATCATATCTTCCTCATCAGTTGGTAGTGCATGTAAATCCGGATCATAGGAGTCTCACAAAATCAGATTGCTTTCATCATATTGCAGTAGAAAATATACATTGATGGGCATGTGAGTACAGGCATAGGCAAAGAAATTCCACCACAAGATCCCGAGAAATAAATGGCTTTAAACGCAAGATCACTAAGAGGAAGTCAAGGTTACTATATTTCAAAAACAGGAAGCACAGCACATAGGAAGTTAACAGATACCCTTGCCGATTGGACACATCGCACTACCACGGCTAAAGCGACTTTTATCTCTAGCATGCAGAAAGCTCATTCCCATTATGGTCCAGTGGTTAAGTGAGTGCTTGGTAGGCGCTGAAGACCCGAGGTAAGGGTAAAAAAACAAACAAGCGCGCGCAGCAGCAAAATAATGTTTCGCTAATGCGCGGGGAATTCACGGCCTTCTGAAAAAAAAATTGACGGTGGCGCTGACATCCGACCAAATATTTCCCGATCTATCTTACTATAAGGCACGTACGAACTAAAATACCACTGCATATGGATGAAAACCTAAATGAACACCTAACAAACGAGGCCGATATCCAACACAACACCCGATGCGGACGAAAACCCTTCATCCAATAGGACACTATACCCAGCCAAATTTTAAAGCACGATCATCCGATAGGACACGCGTCACAAGATTAGGTGCAAAATCGTAAAATGTTTCCAGCATTTGTGACTGATGCACTTACCATGGTCAGACAGCTATTAGTTTCGAGCCAGCTGAACGGTGCCTGGAAAATATTTTCTTATCAGATGGATTACATCAAGAAAGCTAAATGACAGCGCCCACTTTATCAGAACTGTTATATTGTCATCAAAGACTGCAGAGTGGTGCATGTATTTCATCACGAACCGAGGCCAAACCGCAAGTCAATCAACACATGGGCATGAAACCCGCTCACTATACCGACCATCGCGTGTAATCCGAACGAACGGAATATGGCTCGTAGCCTACATCATTTAGAATAGCGACGAAAACAAATTGTTCGGCTAAAAGGCTTATCCGTCAGAGCAACCCAACAATTTGAAAGTCCGCGCTTTCAACACCTCCGGCCATCACACCAAGTCTATCAGAGACGGTCAAAGTTAAGAAACCTACCTGCCCCCGGAGAGAAATCAGTTCCATCTTCTCCCTGGGCTCGCCCTAGAACGGAGCAAACAGTTAGGTTCGGTAATAGTATAGCGTACAAAACAGCACAAAGCCATCTCAGAAACGAGGAATGCTATGATCATCAGGAAGCAGCAGGGAATTGTTCATCATTTGAATGTGGCGATGTTACAATGGTTTACTAGCTACGTTACACTCACCCATCTGTTGCTCGCGTATATGGCTTTTTGGATCCATGTTCAAGAACGGATTTCCCCGCCACTTCCCGGATGCTGTAGAAAGGGTCAGTTGTCAAAACAACCCACGACGGGCATGAATCGAAGAGCGCAAAGCGGATCAGAAACGAGGAATTTACTGATTCATCAGAAGGCAGCACAGACATCTCATCATTGCATGATTTACACACACACACAAAAACAATATGAACACAATGGATCATATATATATATATATATATATATATATATATAATATATATATACCAATGCGTACTTTATGAATACAAAATATCAACTTACATGTCATGTGTCACTTGTCATCTGTGTATTACTGACGTCCCTGGTGATGTGCTGAAACAAACATTACATCAAACAACTGATTACCTAAATGATATTGAAGGCATGCCAACTGAGCACTTATCTGGAATAAGCCACCCATCTTCCAGACTTCACGAGCCTCTGAATGGGGTAGCCGGCCACACCCACAAACCGCAATGCATGTGGCAATACATGCATAGTCCGGAAAAAGATCACACCTGGTGTTCCCTTGGTCATATCCCAGCAAGACAAGGCCACAAACGTTAAGTCAATACTATCGGAGCATACCCAAACTACAAAGAAATCTAAGCATTACAACGACAATGCGAAGTGAGAAGATTTGTGCCAAAACACATGCACTACATAGCTCGGGCGCATTAAGCTGATGGAAAACCGTTTAAGAAAAACCTCTCTGAAACCATCCACGAAAATTTTCTATTTCCATATATTAGACCTGGAACTTGCCCAACTTTGTCCCACATGTATCATGCATACTGAATGGACAAAGTAAAAATCCACCTTAACCATGGCTTAATTATTCGGGATTTGCCTTTGACAGGGAAAGGGTATTTCCTTCGTGTTGAGTGTCAAATACAATTCGTGATTTTCTTATTCCAGACAACTGTACCACAGGCCTGATTGGTTTGATATTTTTTTTTTAAAATGTGCGAAAAGAAGCACTAACCAGGCTCGTCATGGAAGGCTTCTTGAACTTCCCTTGTACGAATGTTCGTGACACATCCACACCTTCCTTCTTGTTCACAGTCTGACGTGCCACATACGTGCAGAACGTTACTTCAAATCCGGCCTTGGAGAACAATGACGTAAGTTCACTGGTCGTGAAGTAGTAGACCCTATAAAGTACACAAACATTCATGGGTAACTTCACTTAGCACAATATATCAATATAGCTACATGAAAAGTTGATATGAAACTTACAACATCATAGTAATGAATCTCAAGCCATGTTTAGTAATTTCACATGCAAATCACACATGTATCAATATACCAGAAAAAGTAGCAAGCGAACCTGGTACCGTCCTGGCGGACAGTAGAAATTCTCCGCAAGTTTGTGTCCAGCTCCAAAACGAATTTGGGCCATGTCATACCTTCCGTAGTCTCGGAAAATGACACTGCCACCTTCTTTGAGACAACCAAACAAGCTTTGGATAACTCCATCATACTTCTCAGGCATGATTGAAGACAGCACAAAGATCAATGACACAATGTCCACTGAACTTTCTTGGATGTGCTCATGTAGATTTCTTGAAGTTATGTCATGAACAAATGGATGGACTCTTGACTCATCATACAAGCTATGCGACTTCACAAAATCTATAGCTCTGGGTGAAAAATCACAGGCATGTATAAACCAACTCTGCCCATCCTGCAAAAGGGGGTAAAGGAAATTTCCAACACCACAACCAACTTCAAACAATATTTTTGTTTGACCATTACAAGAGCAATCCGCCAGGTCTTCAAATTCTCGTGTAGTCCAGTGACGATCTTTGTAAAACCTTGTCTCATTTCTCTTGTAAAACTTGTCCCAATTTTTGGCAGCTTCTTGTTCTAGTTTCAGTTGTTTAAACTGACCAACCAGTCCCCTTGATTCTTGCATCTGTAACTTGTGCTTTGAGTCATCTGAGAGGCTGTTCCAATCTGGCCCAGATGTAACAGCTGCATCCTGCAAAGCAATTGCAACAAGAAGAATAAATGCATATATAATAATGAATCAACTGATAAAAGCTGAAAACACTTTCTTACACCAACCACTTAGAAACAATAACAAGACCTGTTTAGTGCACATACTCATTTATTTTTCATCCTTACTAATGTTCAATGCAACTGATCCCAATTGTTTGTCACTAAAAATATGGCAGATCATATAAAAACCAACCACCTGGGATTCCATGAATTTTAATAATGAAGTGCACTTATTCCTAGAATTGGAATGCATGAAAACATCCTTCACAATTCACACCAGTGAACACCCATATTTTAACTTTAACATTCCTACAAGACCTAGACCACACAAGAAATGAACTGTTCCAAGGTTACCCAGGTATCCACAACATTATGTCATTCACATTATGCTACTCCATTGGCCTTACAGTGATCAATGCCAAGGACAATATAATTGCTGAGTCATTCAAACCTGGTATTTGTGAGTACAACCTCCATTTATAAGCTATCAATTAGCGCTACACAGTTGTGCAAGGCACAATCACATAATCAAATGTACATTGAGCAGTAAACTTACTCAACAAAGACAATACTGCCCAGAACCATCTGATGATGTTTGCCTCAATATATTAAGATGCAGGACATTCCCTATGACCAACTTGGGCACACAGAACCACAAGGTTCTGCCTATCATCAGATGCCTGGTGGTGTGTGCACTCAGTTACCTTTCCAAACTTTTCAACAGCAATGGCATGCATTACACAAAACAGGATTGACACATGAAGCACCTGAATATCTGCAAATGCCACTTATTTCTATAAATCCCCCACCATCCTCAATGTATTTACCAGAACACTCGAGCATATTTTTGCAAGGAATTCCGAGAAAATTTCACACGACTATTCCACAGCTAATAACTTGAAGATTCCCCAAGACCTCAATTAAACGCAAGCAAATCTGCTTTAGTGCATCTGCCTTAATCGCTCGCCACACCGCGGTTGGCCTTACAGGGAGCACGCCACCTATAACTGCGCTTTTTCGCAACTACATGGCTTCTGACGCATGATAATATACAGAGCCAAAATTGCCCATGAACCACATAGCCTTGCAACGCAACGACACCTAACAAATACCGCGACCACTTACCGCCGCTACGCCGGAACCGGCGTCTCCCTCCATCGTGGCGGAAATGGACGGAATGGTAGAGAAGCATACCTTTATATGAATTTTCAATGCCACAAAATTTAGAGAAATGCGATGAATAACAGCTTGATGTAATACAAATTATAATAGTGTCACATCCTCTAGTGTTATGTCCTAATCTGCATGCTGACGACGTTAGGAACGTGTCAGAACTATTTACAAAACAGATAGAGATGACCCATACGAGTAAATGGCCGAACGGAAAGCATTTAAGTGCTATCAATATATGGCCAAAAATGGTCATCGCTTTTCTTGCCTCTACTATTATACAACACATCACGTGGGAGCAAGCTTCAACATAAATGTTACATGTGAGTAGGAATAGAAAGAGAGACAGACCTGCCACTTCCATCGCATGTCGTTACAAAGCAGGGGCGCAGACAGAACTTCTTACAGGAAATATACCACTTTTGAACGCATAGAGACAAGCATCAAACAT